TGAAAATGGCGGCTGATGCGACACCAACATCTGGAATAACAATGGAGCCAGTCATCATGAGGGCCTGCTTCTCTCCTAGCAAGTCTGTCTTGTCGTGGGCCTTGGTTAATGAAAAAATCTGAAGGCTTCGCAGGATTGTGTTGGCCGGAAGAGTCTCCTTGGCCGTCATCCACTTGCTGCCGTCATACTTCATGAGATAGACTGACCCGTCTTTGGCCGACTTTCCAGCGATCCAGACCTGGCTCCCGTCGCCAGATGCCGGGGTCATAACCTGCACAGGTCCAGGAATGCTGTCAGCGCCGGGGAAGGCCAACCAAGTCCCCTTGCTGGCATCGTACAAGGCCAGGTATCGCTTTTCAGTGTTGTTGGCCAGCATGTCGCCGCCCACAACGAGAGTCGTTTTGCTAGACCACAGCAGCCCCAGCACCTCTCCCGACAAGCCGTTGCCGGGTTGAGTCCACTGCTGAGAATTGGCATTGTAGATGCAGAGACCTTGACAGCCCAACGCACCAGCTTTTTCAAAGGATCCGCCGACATAGACGTCGTCGGTATCGGGACGAACTGTGATTGCGGCGACTGTGCCGTTTTTGCCGGAGATCGGGGCCGGCTGGCTGCCGAATGACCTTGTTGCAAGGTCATAGGAAACGAGACCTTGAACTTGTGCACCGTTTACTGTGCCGGTGACCATTCCTCCGGCGTAGAGCACACTGTCGCGCAGAGCCACAGCCATGAAGGTTGAATCAGCCGAGATTCCCGAGCCGAGGTCGCTCATGGCTCCATTGTTGTTGCCGTCAATCAGCATCAGATTGTTGATGGAAGAACCGTTGGCCGACCGAGCGGAAAAGTGACCGGCGAGGACGGTCATGTTGGCTTTATCATTGCTATAGAAGGCTCCCGTGATTACGCCTTGGAGAGTGCTGTTGGAAATGGTTTCACGAGCCTTGAGTCTGGAGGAGGAGGATTTGCGCTGTGGATCGATCTTGAAAGGAAAAGTGCCCAGGCCATTCGAACTCAGAGTTGCTGCGCCGTTCGCGCGAAGCTGCGCAGACGACAATGCGCCCGCAAAGAGATCGCCAATGTCCGTCACATTCTGCAGGCTAGCTGTGAGGATTCCGTTGTAAGTCGGCAAGGGCTGGTCGAGGTTCTGTAACCAATTCTGCTGTGAAGGAACCCAGATGGCAAATCCGTCGGCCTGTGCAGCGCTCTTGCCGTTGAAGGCGTTGCATTCCGAGAAAGATCCGCTCACAGCGATGGCTATTTCGACCGTCTTTGAAGTAAGATTGATGGACATTGGGACCACGTTGTCCACCACGCCGTCAACTCCACCACCGAGTGCGCTCCATGAATTGGACTTGGTGTCGTACACGGCAACATGACGCAGTTCCTGCTTATTGTCAAGGGTGCCGTTGAAACTGCCACCAACATAGAGTTTGGTTCCTTCAAGGTGCATATCAAGGACCTGGCCATTCAAGCCCCCGTCAAGAGAAGTTGCCGTTTGCTTGTCACCACCGGTGATGGCAAGGACATTGACGAAGTTGTTGGACGTGAAGTTCCCACCGACGAACAATGCATCGCCCGACGTGACTAGTGACTTGACTGCCGAGTTTCGACCAAACTCGGAGCCCAACTTGTTGATTGCGGATTCTTCAAAAGCCGAGACATCGAATGTGGTCTTTGTCGGTTCAAAATCGAACAGTCCATTGAGCCCACCACTGGATTTGGTGAGAGTGAACCCTACCCTTTGAGCGACAACCATGAGAGACTGAACATCTTGGCCGGCCATGGGCGTGAGCGTGACAGAGGGCTTGAAGCTGTCGGAACTCTTCTCTACGTAGCCGAAGTAGATCTGATCGTACTTGTCGTAATAATTCGTCTGGAAAAGCGTCGTGCTGAAGTCGGCATTGACCGTGCCAGTCGACATTGTACCGGTTACGTTGACTTTGCCTCGCATAGAGCAGGTTTGGTCCGGCATGCATCCTGGTGTGTACATGTTGACCGTGTAGTTTCCAGATTCCACAATGTTCGGGGTGAACACGACCGAAGCGGAACTGCTGTTGACATCGCCACCAAAACTTGCCGTGAGATAATCCGAGTTGCTCTGAGCAGATGGTGATTGTTTCCAAGGTCCAGTAGTTGTAGCGGTAGATGGGAATTGGATACCCTTGCAAGTGGGCTCGTTGAACTTGCCGATTGCATGGGCAAAGATGTCGTCCTGAAAAAGCTCGATACCAGAAAGACCAGCTCCAGCACCATACCACTCGGATATTGCGATTTGAAAACTGTTCATTCCTACATGGTTGACAAAATGAAAGTCCTGGAATTTGGTGTTACGGCCGTTGTCAAGAGGACACTCGCTAGTGCAACTTGCATTCTGTCCGGTGGAGGGGTCGACATATGTGAGGTTCATGATACCGTTAATGGGGAAGGCGAGAAATCGAAAGGTCTTGGTGCCGCGGCCATCCTTGTTGGTGTTGTAGAGTCTGAGTTTTGTAGGCTGGAAACCGAACCCGAACGTTGCCTCCCAGGTGGCAGGCACCTGATCAGCTGCCAGCCATGTGTTGCCTGCCTTATCATTTCCTGCCGAGCAGACGATGTTCTTGGGGTTTCTGAAGCCTTTCGTGGATGCTCCGTTTGTGGCGGTGATGTTGGCACCAGACAGATTGACAATCTGGCTGTCGCGTTGGCTAGGAGTGCTGGCATTCCCCAGTCCAGTGAAGCTACCTCCAAAGATGATGTGTCCATTTGATGTCTTGGAGATGGCATTGACAGGGCCGTTGAAACCGGCAAATGGCAGGTTTGCCCAACCATTCGCTTCTGTCCAAGAAATTGCGTTTGTCGAGTTTGAGCCCTTGAATTTCCCACCCACGTAGACGGTTTTCCCGCTGTCGTCATCACAATACAGCGCGTTGATCTCGCCCTCCAGACCTTTCAGAGGCGTGATTTCGGCTGTGTTGGGGTTGAACAGAGCAATTGCTGTCGACTGGGTGCCATCTAGACTTGTGAAATTGCCTCCGATTACCACCCTCTTCGTACCGCCATCGGCATTTTTAAGCACGCACATTGCTCGAATTGACGCATCTGTAGACACTATTGGAGCCAGAGCGCCGTTGGGTAACCGTGCAAGAAGAAACTCGCTGCCGTTTGTGGGGAGAGGTTTTGCTATTTGTCCCTCATATTCATACAAGGAGATGCCGTTGAAGTCACCCGCAATTGCTATCCTGCCCAAATTGGAAAAATCGAGGTTCGCCGACGGAGCCGGATTGAAATGGATTGCTCGACAGACGGAAGGAGCAAGAGATGCCAGTGCCAAGAGAGTAGAGTCGAGCATGGAGATGGGCGGACGCCTCGAGCGGCGCTGGCGGAAGGGCAGCCGCATGGCGATAGTGTTTCGCCGTGGCTGCGACCAGCGACCGTAGAAATCGTGGAAAGGGCCAGGAAGGCGTCGATTTAGAAGTTAGAACAAGTCGAATGAGTGAGCGACGTGTCGATTCGTCGATGGTTGTGACGCGGAAACGGGCATAGCAGGTTTCGCCGACGAGCCTGAAGTGCGGATTGTTTGCCGGGCGGAGCGCGACGTGAATTGGCCCAAGGTGGTGGGCGCACTTTGGGAAAAAAACCACGCCACGAAAAAAAAAAAACACACCCCCCCGAGTAACGACTGTGGTGGTATTCGAGATAAGGAAAAAAATAAAGAGCGTAGTGATGGCGAAGGAGACGCTCGATCGGAGCCAGGAACCGAAAGCAGCGGATTGACGCTTTCTGTATTCTGTCGCAGGTCGCCTTGGTTTCCCCCTTTGACGGAGGATGATGGGTTTGCGAGTCGTCCCAGGGCAGTGCCTTGTACGGAGTAACAAAGGATGGCTGGGGGCGCCCAGGTTGGCACGAAGAATGCGGGAAATTGCAGAGGTTTGTTGTTACTGGGCCCTGGCACTGGCAGACTGACTTACTACGACGCTAGTCCCGACGGGGCCCATGTGCTTGTTGTCAAAAATTGAGGGGGCCTGGGTGGTGCACAGCAACAAGCTTTTGCCGTGTGGCCGCGCTGCGACAACGATGGCTTCAGAGTGTTTTGTGGAACCAGACGCTTTTTGAGGGAAATGAGCCAGGCATAATATGAGGAACGGCGGCGAAGTGCTGAAGCCGTCTCTGATGATTCTCAAGCCCATCGAGCGATGGGTCTGGGGTGTGACCTACACTAGCTAAGCACCTGACCAGCCTGAGCGGCAGACCACCAGATATCACTGCAGAGGTCTCGGGTCGCCAGCGCCATCCACAGGTCTGAGTCGGCAGGAGACTAGCTACTATGTAGTAGGAGTACAGAGCGGGCTCTTGCACTTGAGCAGCAGGCAATTCTCTTCTCGTGCTTCTCGTGCCCCGTATTACACGGCAAATTCGTGTCATGTTGCTCTCATCAAGTAAGTAATCTATACGGATTATGACAAGACTCGAGTGATCGAGTCTGGCTCAGACCAAGAGGGTTTCCCTTGTCTGCAATCCCTTTGAATGTGCGAAGACCCCAGGCGGGTCGCGGACCTCCCTTTGAGCGTGTGCGAAAGACCTCAGGCGGAGCACGGACAGGATTTAGGCCAATAAGGATAAGGCCACGCATTCTATATGTACAAAGAGCCACCTTTGTATTCTAGGGCACGATTTGCCCAGGCAAAAGGTAGTCCACTTGTTCAAGCGAACCCGATCGCCGTGACGTGCTCATTACTATGGCCTGTTTGTTGGAGAGGTTTCGCTCACGACTCGTTGTATCTGTGTCAGCTTCGTCTCCATCGAAAGCACAAAAGAAATTTCTTTCTATCTTCTTCTTGACAACTGTTCAGATCGCGGCTTGCTTGTTTCTTTCCTTCATGGTGACAAGCACGCGTCGCGAGGTGAGTGCAACGCACGCACAGTAATAATTTGCAATATGACAACCGTCCTTTGCCTGTCGTAATATAATACAGTACAACACGTTCACAATCAATGTCGAGTACGAAAGCTACTGTCGTGCAGTTCACGTGACGCAGTGGTAGCGTGAAAGATTGCAAATCTTTAAGTCCTTGGTTCGAATCCGAGCGTGAACTCGACCCCCTTTTTTGGGGACTAGCTTCGCTTTTTTGCCTACCATCCCTCTGTGTACAAGCTTGACACAACCTGTGGTAAAGATGCATGGCAGGACCCGTTTTTTTTTGTCTTAGGAGGGTATTGAGCTTGAAGACCATCGTCACGACCACCAAAAACACGGTACCTTTTTTGTTCAGCCCTGCGCCCCTGGGCGGAAACGCACGCAGGCACCTCGCCCTGGCTCCACACTCGCTCTGAACATGACTTCATCCCAAAAACAAAAAAAACCTGTAATTGAGACAGGTACTCATGTAGAAGTGTTGCATGCGAGGAGGTACAAGAGAAAATAATCCGTGTAACGGAATCGTTGCTGCAGCTCATCAAGCGGATGCCCACCGGCTCGGCATTAACAATGATCGAGGACGCGAACGGAGTACGCAAAACGTTTTTCGACATATAAAAAGACTCTTCGACTAACTTGGACGAGTCTACGAAAAATCAAGTTCATGGGGAGTTAAAAATGATCTACATCCCCCAGGTGCCGGTACTAGCAAGATCATGGCCGTGCTTTCTCTGCTACTTGCAGATCTCCGTTGCGTCTGATCAGTCACCCCGTTTCAGCCCTGTCATGTGCCGCTCTGTCAAATGACAAATTACACGAAACGCTTCACTACTCGAGTAAGGGGGGGCTTTCGAAGTCCAAGTGTATGGCCTTGTATAGATGTGTTTTTTTTTTCAACATCAACACAAGTATGACAATCCCACATGGAGATAATCTCAGACGTATGACAGATGACCGTGTCTGTTTGTTTCCGGGTTTGACGAGGTTAAAGAAGGAAAATGACGATAAAGCACGGCGTCTAGGTCATGTGAAATCTGCGACACAGGCTCAAACATGGTGCATAAGCCCTCAGAGTCATTTACATCCAGCGTCCTCGGTGGCTTCTCATGACTTGCTTGGGACCTTCCGTCCCGAATCGCACATTTATGTAGCTATTTCGTCAGTACTCATCCTTGAAAAGTGAAACCAGATCCCAAAATGTCACGGAGGAACATGTTTTGAGATGGTCGGTCAGGACGAAGAAGTAGGCAGCTCGCATCGATCATGGCACGGTCACGCCCCGTTGTGTACGCCAAGCCTATTGTCGATCCGGAAGAGACTTGCTCGGGGTCAAAGATGCGAAGGAGCAACTGCGTTTGATTTCTACGCCTTGTTCTAGTCACTGATGTTCTTCTGAGCCTTGGTATCGTGATTTGTATTTCCGGGGGCTTTCAAACTCGCTTGGTTTGCCGGACCACATGCCCTTCCGATTCCTTTTGGCTATTGCCTCGGCCTTTTCGTAGACTGACTTCAATCCTCCGTATTCTCCGCCAGACTTGGCTTCATATGTTGTTGCCAGGCCTCTCTTGACCATCTCTAGGCCAACGTTGCGGCGGATAAGGAATCGACGAACGTAGACTGTCGCAACAATGCGGTTGTACTGATCTCGTTTGTAGATGTAAGCCCGCACGTTTCTGTGCAGGATATACTGAGATAGCCAAGTCAGGGCTTCGGCGGCAAACGGTTGAGCTGGACGGCCGAAATGTGCTCCTTCGGGGGCATCGACACCTGCAAGACGGATTGGAATCTTTTGTTTCCAGTGCGGGCCGAGGGTCAGCTTATGTTCCATGGCTCTGTGACTTGGTGAATGTTGCTTACCGTTCGATCCTTGAGTTCCTTCCTGACCTCGGGTATCTTTCTCAACCAGCCCCATCCCACAGCCTTGCCGCCAGGTGTATGGAAAAGGTGGAAATTGTCCCCATCACCAACACTTGTAACCCTGCCAAATAGGCTGCGGCTCCTGAAGAATGAAGGCCGAACAAAAGCAGCACCCGGAATTCGGCGGAGGTAGTTGGCATAGAGCTGCAACGCACCGAGTCCCACGAGAGAAAACAGTACGACTGGAGCCCATTCTTTGGCAGCTCCCAGAGGATCGGCTTCGGCTCGCCTCAGCATCTCGGACCACGACACGGCGCGTTTTGTTGGTAAGTTCTCATTTTCGGCATCCTCTGTTGGGACACGCGATCCAAACGGCCAGACCATTCTGTTTGCGACCCGGAGGCCGAACTGGCCATGAACTGTTATACGGAGCAGGGCTGTGTCTGATCGGGTTGACTAACCGATTACTCGCACTGGAAAATTGGTGGGCGACCAGACTCGTCCAGTAAGTAAAGCAGTGCCTGGCAGTGCCTGGTCTCACCCATTGGGTCCAGCTCTGCTTCCAACCCCGCCAATGACATTAACGTCATGCCCCAGCAACATGCACGGCGAGTTGCCACTGGACTCCATGCAATGATCTACGCCGGTGCACTATCGCAAAACTGGTTCTAGACTTTGGATTTGTTCTCATATACCTGCCTTGTACGGATGAGATGGGTACTGGCATCTACGCTAAACAAGCAATACATAGGGTTCACTCTTCTGATACCGCGATTTAGCTGCCTTGAACCTTGAAAGATCGGCCGCTGGCTGTCTTCCTTTCCTTTTCTTCGCTATCAGGCCGAGCACGTCGTAGCACTAGGTCTTTTGTTAGCTGTGAATCTAAAAAACGGCACTGGAGCCACGCCAACCTTGGAGGAAGTCTGCTGTGCGCTTGCGCATTCGTGAGTGGATATATGCTTTAGAGGCCTTAATATGGTAATGAAAATAATCTCGGAATGTCTGAATATGGGAGATGACTATGGGCATTCTCTGAGGCGTCAAGTGTCTCGGGAAAAGAACTGCAGTTGTCAGCAAAATGTAGGACTCAGAAAAAATTCATTCATGCCATACCGAATGTGACATAGCCAATCTCGCCTGTGCTATTACTTTGTACACCGGGAACTCCTTGTAGTTCTAGTGGTGGGTCATTTCGAAAAAGAACTTGAGGTGCATTTTGGATAGCTCTCCTTCGAGCATCCACGAATTCTTGGATGAAGACTCTACCAAATACCCGGTCGGTCTCTTCGCGGAAGACCGTGCTAAAAATCACCGTAACTCGGTCGTGGCTGGCCTTGATATATATTGCTTCTTCTTCTCGGTAGCGAATCGCCATTACTTGACCACCTTCTCGAACTCCTTGGGGAGCTTCTTCGGATGTGAACTTTGAAGCCTGTTCTCTCAACTCATAATGTTCCTGGTAGGCCTGCTCGAACGGAGCTGCCATGGCGTTGCGTTTTAAGAGAGCAAGCTTTAATGCTAGCGCATCGCGTTCCTCTTTTGTTTTTAGAGCATTCATTAGTTTAGTTCACGTTAAAAAGTTTCGTGCTGAGCAACTTAAAGTCTCACCTTTCTCATCAGGCAGATTATCAATGTCGATCAAGACCGAAAAGTCGTATCCGGGCTCTACCGGTGAGACAAATTGGCCATATTCTCGCTGGAGAACCTGTTCAGCGCCGTACTGAACCAGGTCTGGAAAACATCTTATTTGGATAGAGAGAAGGATTTTCGTTTTCGATTCGGGAGTTGAAATGTGGAAGGTTACACCATCGAAGTCTGAGATAGTCTGATCAATCGAAGCGGGGGGGGCACTGGTATACGGTCAGAAGCTTGCGGAATAAAAGTAACATTAAACATAAGATACCCTGAGAATCTCTCGGTCAGGACCGATTGGATCAGAACATTTTGGTAGTCAAGGAGAAGCATCTTCGTGACTTGTGCGTTGCAAGTTGCTTGTTCTGCCTGCTCCTCTCCCAGAGCAACAGTGTTGATGATGGTGGGGCTGAGCAGGTGAAGCTCTCGTCAGTGGAGGAAGCACGTGACCGCAACTTGGCAAGAGCGAGTCGCTCTCCGTTGCGGTCCGTCCGCAGAGCCTATCGATAAGAGAGAGAAAAATATCCCACTCCGCGACATGCAAGTCTATCTCCTTCAGTAGTCTGGATTTATTGGAAAGCGCCAGAAAAACCAATTGACCCAGCGACTTTGCGGAAATGGTGAAATCGTACCTGTAAGTAATAGCCAAAGGTCTGATGACGTGTTGGACATCTCTTCTAACCTGAAAGCAATGCAGCAAGTACGAACACGCCAAGTCGTTTGGTGTTGTTACGACCAACACTTCCAACATTGTCTGGACCTCCAAAGACCGAGCTGGAACAGGTGCTGGGCAGGCAGTTGTGGCCGCGAATGAAGAAGTCTTGTGCTGGGATATCAAGAAGGGAGAATTGTTAAGCCGGTGGAAAGACGCAAGATGCACAGTTCCCGTCACTGCGATCGCCCAGAGCCAAACGGATAAAGATGTCTTCGCCGTCGGGTACGAGGATGGCAGCATAAGGCTTTGGGACAGCAAGATCTCAACCGTGATTGTCAACTTCAATGGACACAAATCTGCTATTACGCACCTCACGTTTGACAAATCTGGGGTTCGACTCGCCAGTGGCTCCAAGGACACAGACATCATCATTTGGGATCTAGTGGCCGAAGTCGGCCAATTCAAGCTCCGGGGCCACAAGGATCAAGTGACTGGACTTCGCTTCATCGAACCGGAGCCGCGCATTCAGGATGAGGATGGCTCGCGAGCAATGGTCTTGGACAATGAAACCTCGTCGGATGGTTTTCTGTTGACGACAGGCAAAGATGCATTACTTAAGCTTTGGGATCTCTCTTCAAGACATTGTATTGAAACACACATATCCCAAACAAATGGAGAGTGCTGGGCCTTGGGGGTGGCTCCAGATTTGAGTGGATGTATCACTGCAGGAAACGACGGAGAGATGAAGGTTTGGGCCTTAAAGGCTGATGACTTAGCTGCAAGTTCTCGACATGTGGAACTATCTGCTGCAGCTCACTATCTACAGGACCGCGGAGTTCTTCATAGACAGAGCAAAGACCGCACGACTGAAATAATATTCCACCCACGAAGAGATTATTTTGCAGTACATGGTTCAGAGAAGAGTGTCGACATTTGGAGAATCAGATCCGAGGCCGAGGTGCGAAAAGGTCTTGCACGGAAAAGGCGGAGACGGAGAGAGAAGCAAAAGGACAGCAAAGCTCAGCTCGATAAGA